GACATAACTCTGGCTTCAGACATGTTTGCCCATAAAATCAAGAGATGGAGAGTACTGAATGAAAAATCTTATTCTGACCATCGTTATATTGAATTCGAAATAGATCTTAAGACCCCCCAAGTAAGGGAGTTCAGAAATGTTAGAAATACCGACTGGGGGGTTTACAATAATAAATTATGGACTTTACTGCCAAAGATACCTCCCCGAGACCCCGCCACGCAGGTGGAGCTGGATGGGTTGGTTAATCAGGTTACTAAAGCCATGAATAGTTCTTTGTCAGCCGGATGCCCGGTTGTTCGATACAGGGGAAAAAGCAAACCACCTTGGTGGTCGAAACAATTATCCTTGTAACGTGAATCTAATAGGTCAATGTTCAATAAGGCCAAAGCCACGAGAGCAGTAGAGGACTGGGAAGCCTACAAGGCTGATCTGAAAATATACAAAAAAGCAGTTAGAACTGCGAAACGTAAATCCTGGCAAAGTTACTGCAAGGGAATTGAGGAAACCACGGAAGCGGCCAGATTAAGAAGAATTCTCGCAAAGTCGCCATGCAACCTTGGCTATCTCAAGGGTCAAGGAAACTCATGGACTACGACGAGCGAGGAATCTTTAGGTACCCTCCTGGACACACACTTCCCTGGAAACAAGCCGGTGGAACCTAATGACCCCCAGAATGAAGGGGGGCTATCTGATCTGGGAAACCGACTGATTACAAACGAAAAAATCGAATGGGCTATTAAGACTTTTGGTCCTTACAAGTCACCGGGACTTGATGGAATACACCCGGTAGAGCTGCAGCAATCACGGGGTATTATCTCTCCGTTCATTGTGGTTATTATAAGAAGCTGTCTTAACATGGGCTACATCCCGCTAGGCTGGAGAGAGACAAAAGTCTCCTTTATACCCAAGGCCATACCAACCCTAAGGACTTCAGACCCATCAGTCTTACGACTTTCCTTCTCAAAATTTTAGAGAGGATAGATGATTATGTACGGGGCGTGATACCAACAAGTAGGCTCTCCCCAGCGCAGCATGCCTATACGAAAGGCAAATCCACGGAAACCGCCTTGCACTCGCTCGTTGGGTTGGTGGAAAAAAGTTTATTAGACAAAGAGTACGCTCTGGTTGCCTTTGTAGACATAGAAGGCGCCTTCAACAATATTAACGCAAGCGCCATAACGGGTGCCTTAGAAGAGCTTGGAGTTGACCAGAATGTGGCGGTGCTGATCAAGTCTATACTTGTCAGCAGGACGATAACCGCTAAGCTCGGCAACACCACAATAAGCAGAAAGGTCTGTAGAGGCACTCCTCAGGGAGGGGTTCTCTCCCCTCTTCTCTGGAATTTGGCGGTGAACTCTCTGCTGGTGGCACTAGAGAGGGGGGGTTGCCATGTCACAGCATATGCTGACGATCTGGCAATTGCCGTCAAAGGCAAATACCCAAATACCCTAATGGAGATTCTGCGCTCTAACATGGCCACGCTTAGGAACTGGACAGAGAGTAGGGGACTCGGAGTAAACCCCGAGAAAACCGAAGCAATTCTCTTCACAAGGAAACACAGGCTTCCCATTGTCTCCCCGCTAATCTTTTTGGGTGTGGAGATATCCTTGAAGGAGAATGTTAAGTATCTAGGACTCATATTAGACAGGAAACTAACGTGGAAGCCTAATATAGAGGAAAGAGTAAGGAAGGCTAACGTTGCATTATACACATGCAAAAAAGCGGTCGGAATCAAGTGGGGCTTAACACCTCGTATTACACATTGGCTATACACCTCGGTGGTCAGGCCAATACTCTTATATGGAATACTTGTATGGTGGCCAGCAACTCAAAAGGCAAGTTACCTAAAACTATTGAGTAAGGTCCAAAGAACAGCGTTTCTATGCATTTCGGGTGCCTTAAGGACCACCCCAAATAAGGCGCTGGAGGTGATTACCAATTTGCCCGCAATAAACCTGGTGGGAAAATACGCGGCCGCCGATTCAGCGCTCAAACTAAGAAGTATGGTGCTATGGAAGGATCGGCGGTTTGGTCACGCTTCCATACTTCACACTCTGGGTAGTTACAACCAAGAAGTTGACTACTCCGCTCCCAAACCAATCTTCAATAGGCTCTTTAAGACGAGCATCCCGTCAAGAGGAGAATGGCAAACGCCAAGACCATGGAGACGGGGGGAATTGAATTTTTACACAGATGGATCCAAGCTAGACAATAGGGTTGGCTACGGAGTTTTCTCTAAGGAACTAGGACTGGAACTATCCGTCCGAATTCCGGACCACTGCAGTGTCTATCAGGCAGAAGTTTTAGCTATAAAAGAGGTGGCTGTGTACCTTAGTACACATGCCGTAACGAAGACTACGATTAATATTTTCTCGGATAGCCAGGCGGCCATTAAATCAATGAACATGGTAATGCTGAGGTCGAAGGTTGCGCAGGAATGCCTCGCAGCTCTAAACGATATTAGCACCGTGTTCAAGGTCAGCCTCATATGGGTTCCGGGACACAGAGACATTGAAGGAAACTTCAGGGCTGATGAGCTAGCCAGGAAAGGTACGAATCTACCCCTATGTGAAAACAGGGGCACTATTGGGATACCCATGGCAACCTGCAAATTAGAACTTCGAAATAGCATGATCCAAGAGGCCAACAGGTCATGGCTAGAGGAGGGCACATGTAGAACAACCAGGCTGCTTTGGCCGCAAATAAAAAAGAAAAAGACGAAAGAGTTGCTGTGCCTCTCAAGAGAGGACATTGCGAAGGTCACGGCTTGTGTAACCGGTCATTGGCTATTTGGCAGGCACTCTTCAAGACTAGGAATTTTCTCCCACGAATATTGCAGAAGTTGCAGAGATGAGGAAGAAGAAGAAACCGTAGAGCACTTCTTCTGTAGCTGCCCAGCTTTGGCCAAGAGGAGAGCAAGCTTTTTAGGCAGGCCCTTCTTTAGCTCTCTTACGGAACTATCACACGTAGGAATAAAACCGGTTCTACGCTTTATAAGAGCCTCAAATTGGTTCTCTGAAGAATAGTCACCGAGGTTCCCGTGTTCTGCAGTGGTAACACAATGGACCTTCAAAAGGTCTAAGTGAGTTGGTAAATTGAACCGACTGCCACATCAACCTAACCTAACCTAAACTGCAATCAGCTGTTCGATATTTATTCAATATTAAATCCGCCCGCTGGCGAAAGGCATAACGCATATGAGTAAGTCAAATTCCTTAAATTTTCTGTTACAATTTATTTTTTTTAGGAAAAGAGCTACGAATCCGCTGTTAATAAACATAGTTTACCAGACTAAGGGCCGGTTACTCAATGTCTGGTTAACACTAATCTGCGGTTAAATATCGTTATCGACGTCTTCGGCTCCATACATATAATATTGTGTCGGTAACGTCGATAACGATGTTTTACCTGTAGTTAGTGTTAACCAGACATTGAGTAACCGGCCCTAACAAAAGAAAACTGAAAAGGACGTTCACAGTTGATAAAATTGCCGAGTGTCAAACAACAAATTACCAAAATGGATATGAAGACCCTTAGTGCAACATTAGCATTTATTAACTGATAGATAATTTTGACTAAACAAATTCCCTCTCCTACTTTTCTGTCTCTTTCAAATCAGTGTCTGCAGAGCAAATTAACGGTTTGGTTACAATTCTAGAACAAATTTAATATAACTAAAAGCACGGTTGTAGAACAAAACTAGATAAATGCATGGTTGTATTCTTGATTACGTTTTCCTGTAACAAATTTTTTACATACATACATATCGTCACCTGAAATGTAAAAAGACGTAACTAATAAAAAATTCAAAATTCACTTTTTGATTGATATGTCCATCATATTTCATCGAATTACAACTCTCACATCATTTTATGAAAAAAAATAAAAATATTAGTCAAGCCTTTTTACATTTCAGTTACGATGTTGTTACGTCTTTTTGCATTTCAGGTGACGATATGTAATTTAGTGGAAAAACTAAAATAAAAAAATCGTCATTACGGGGGAAAAATCGTCAAAACGTTATTGAGCTAAACAAACGTCAAAATAACGACGAATTCGGCAATTCGGCAACACTGCATGCACGTAGGCAATGCGGTGCCCACCATCGATATACATACTACAAAGGGTATGTTATGCATACTTCGCATTGCTTGAGAGTTGTCACATAAAGAATCTGTTAAATGAGCTTCGCGTGTAAAGCTCGTCGGCGATTTCAAGCATCCGTTGTTGGTTACCCCAGCAACGAGTACATGTGTGAGTGTCGGGTTGAATGTCGGGTGCTTGAAGCTCGGAACACTTTGACGACTGCAACTTCACGACGTAACGACAGCGACATCATTTTGTCGACAAATGTCGCCTTGAAGCTAGCTTCTTAAACATTTTGAAGACCTCAGCGACATAGCAAACCGCTGATTTTAAAGTTTGACATTTTGGTATATTTATTTCACAAATTGTGTATTTTTATTTAAATAAATAAGAAAAACATGAACAATCAAGAATATGTGATTAATTTTGCGACAATTTAATTTTGCAGCACTACATCTACTCATTGTCGTCGGCAAAATTAGAAATAGATTTAATTTGGCGACGTCGACAATTGCAGTCCTGCAGCCAAGATGTCGTGCTGTCGCCAAAATAATTGTGTCCGTAAGAACGTGTGTATTTAAAATTTGACAGATGCTGCTTGTCGCTTGCTGTCGTCAAAGTGTTCCGAGCTTGAAGCTTGCCCGGCGACACTAAAGCATAAAGCGTCAACACCATTTGCAATAAAATTTCGTAGTGGGCGGACGTAAACATGTCTTCATCGATTTTTTGCTACTTGCCACTGCAGTAGTTTTGTTAGAAAAAAAGAAAAAAAAAAGAAAGACTAAAAAGAAAAAGTTGTGGGTGAAAAGTTTATATACAAAACGTGCAAAATTTACACACGAAAACCTTTTAAGCGAACTTAAAATATCATGCAAAGAGGAATATAAACATTTTTTAAGAATGGATTCTGCTGCATTTGATGAACTTTTGTGCCTTATTACGCCATTAATTGAAAAAGAAGACACACAGCTACGAAAAGCAATAACACCCAGTATGCGATTGTCAGCCACATTACGATACTTAGCGACTGGACAAAAATTTGAGGACCTGAAGTTCTTAACAGCGATTTCTCCAAGATCCCTTGGGAGAATTGTTATTGAAACTTGTGAGGCTATTATTTCATGCCTCTCCAATTATATTAGGGTAAGTATATAAAAATGGTATTTCTTTCCTTTAGCACCCACCTACTAAAAAATTAGCTAAAATTATGGGAGAGGGCTCAAAAGACGGGGTTTGGCCTCAGGATCACGAATCCGGAAGCGCTTTTTTAATTTTATGCTTCTGTGAAGAGATATTTGCAATCAAAGTTGCAAGTTTTCATGTGGTTGTCGTAATCACATTAGGCCGTCCCTAAAAACGGACTAGGGTTGACTTTACGAGAGTGCAGAAAAGAGAGAGAAAAGGGACAACATGTCAAAATAATAAAATAAAAAAGTGCGTCGGTGGTGTTTCTGCACATAAAAACCATGGATCCCGCCCCAATTTTGGTATCGGACCCGGATCATTTTTCGGTTTTTTGACCATAACTTTCCACAGAAACAAAAAATTAAAAAAGCGCTTCCGGATTCGTGATCCTCAGGCAAAAACACGCATTTAAAAAAAAAAAATCATAATTTTAGCTAATTTTTTAGTAGGTGGGTGCTAAAGGAAAGAAATACCATAAAAATAAACAACAAATCTAGTTTGCGAAAGGTGAATATTACACAAATTGGGTTACAATTACAGTGCAGTCGCGATAATTAGAACTAATTAAAACCAGGCCAGTTAAATTTTGCAAGATTGTTCATATTTACGAAAGGCTATGAAATTTGGGAAAAAATCCGTTTAGCTAGTTTTACGACATCCAATCCCCATTAAAAACAACAAAAGAAACGCATGTTGGTCATTTTTTTCATGGTACAAAGAAAAAAACATAAAATACAAAGAAGAAGAATAAAATTAAAACATAAGAACCTCGAAAATATGAACTTTTGAACCAGAAGTTCATATTTTAGAGTACTCAATGAAGGGAAAGAGTGTTCATATTTTGGGATGTTCATATTATCGCGAGTGCACTGTATATACAAAATTGAAATAATGTATGTATAGACAGACTTGGCTCCCATACAAACTAGACCTATGTCCGTCCGTATGCCTGTTTAACCGAAAACCAGTCCCTCAGCATCCAACTGATTGTTTCTTGCAAACCCCCATAGTTAAATAATGATTTTCACATTTTGTTAAATAACATTTTATTCAATTCAAAAATAAATATTAAAATAAAAGTACAGTTCTTTGTTAAACTATAATACTACTTTCAGCTGCTACACATTTTTCAGTTTATATTCAGAAAATTAATACTCAGAACTTCCATTTGATATTCAGAATTTTTTTTTAACTGAAAAAGGGGTAATTTAAATTTTATTCAATTAAAACAAATATTCAGTCTTCGTAAAAATAAATATAAAAATAAAGGTACCTACAGTTTTATGTCGAACAATAATACTACTTTTCACATTTTTCAGTCTTTTATTGAAATACAGTGCAGTCGCGATAATATGAACTAAAGTATGAACTTCATTTTAGAGCTTAAGCCAAAAGTTCATGGTTTAGAATAGTCAATGAAGCGAAAAAGTATTAATATTTTGGGATGTTCATATTATGGCGAGTGCACTGTAGTTCACTCAATTGAAAAGAACGCGAATTGAGGTTTTAATCAGTCAGTAAATGATGAAAAAAAATCAGATATCGATTGAGTTGATACATTGCCATCGACAAAATCGTTGCTGCTGAAATGAACCGGTGTGATACTATTGCTTTCATATCGGGCTGGTGTCGAAGAAGTGCTGGAGTATTGCACTATAGGAGAACTCGTGCGGCTAAAAGTTACGGGGATTGGGTGGGAAGCAGCTGCGTTTATTTTAACAGAGTTCCGGGTCAACGTTCCCATTTGGCCCTAGAACATAATGTCCTCAACGAATTTTTCACAGAGAATCCGTTGTTCAGTAGCCATCCTATCCAGTTTCACCGCCCAAGAATTCGTAATTGCTGTTGATGTCGAGTTTTCCTTGCCCGCGAAACGTTTAGAAGCGATTTCCACTAAAGCTTCAGTAGCATCAGGCTTTCTTTTTGACGCTTTAGATACATCTTCCCTCAAAAGATTCTGAAATGAAAAGAAGAGAAGAATTTATTGTATTTTTTTATCGTTTCCAGGTGCCGCAATCCGAAGAAGAGTGGAAAGCGATAGCGGATAGGTTCAGTGATGATTGGAATTTTCCAAATTGCATTGGTGCTATAGATGGCAAGCACATTGCAATCAAAAAACCACCTGCCTCTGGCTGACATTATTACAACTACAAAAAATTTCATAGCATTGTACTAATGGCAGTTGTAAATGCTAACTACGAATTCATTGTTGCAGATGTTGGTACAAATGGACGAATATCAGATGGGGGCGTTATAAAGAACACAGAATTCGGGAGGGCTATTTATAGTAAGTCTCTGCCAATTCCCAGCCCTTCACAGATTCCAATGAGCGATGTGGAACTACCATATGTTTTTGTTGCTGACAATGCTTTCCAAATGCAGGAAAATTTGTTTAAACCATTTTCTGGCACCAACCTCACAAATGAGGAAAGAATTTTTAACTATAGGTTGAGCAGGGCACGAAGAATTGTTGAGAATGTCTTTGGAATACTCGCAGCACGATTTGGAGTTTTACAAACAACTATGCAATTGGCACCAGAAAAGGCAGAAATAATTGTTTTAGCTTGCTGCTATTTGCACAATTTTTTACGGCATAAAAAAACTTATTCATTTTCCGATTTAGTTGACCAAGAGGACATCAACTCTGGAAATGTGGTCGAAGGAGCATGGCGAAATTATCACACGGATCTGAGTCCATTGCAAAGCACTCATATAAGAAACTCATCCAATAAAGCCAAAGAAGTTCGTCGAGCTTTCGCGGAGTATTTTTCCAACGAGGGTGCAGTTTGCTGGCAGCAAAAATACATTCGCTGATACATACTGTATTGTTATTGTATTGCACAACACTGTATTGTTATTGTATTGCACAACACTGTATTAACAAATAAATGTAAACAATAAAAAGTATTTGCACATCTATTTGTTTGCGTTTTTGACCAATTTTAACTGAACCGACGGTATCCCTAACCCTAACACTATTTCTGCACTTACTGTCACAAAAGAAACTAGAAAAAGCAACTTACACCAGGCAAATGAAAAAGTTTCCTTATGCATCACATATAACAAAAAAAATATCAAGTACGAATTGCCGTCGGCAATTACAGTTTACCTACCTTGCCTTGTAAGGTACTCTTGGACGAGCATGGAATGTCCACATCGCTTAAGAACTGCATATCGTTATAATAAAATAAATTTGGCTCTAGCGAATCATCGCAGCCTGCTCCGCTTTTGCTGCATTCAGCCAATCTTTGCCTTTTTCGGCGAAAGTTAGTGCGCAAAACGTTGATTTTTTTTTACGTCGTCTACCGTTGCATTGGGGTATCTTTCCTTATATATTTCCAGCAGAATGTCGTATTGCTTACACTTTTTATCGCGGTTGGAATATGCTTCGCACTTAGTATTCCACACAGCGGGTAAGGACGCATAAGTTTCAATAAACCGCAACGTAAAATCTTTATCTTCCGCGAACTTGCTCATTTTACATATCACAACAAACTAACACACTAATGCTTGTCAACGCTTTGCGCCACTATCAAACAGACCGCTTGTCAAGCGGTCGCGTTGATGGAAAATCAAAGTGCTCTAGCACTAGAATTTTGAGATATCCTAACCTCAAAGTGCCAACATCACGGTTTTTGGCGATATTTGAGGTTATATAATGAATACATAAATTTTTTTTGCTCATTTCTACTTAGGGCATGATTTTCGTTTGTTGGGACTCGATTTTGTTAAATACATACAAACTGTTATGAAAAAAGCATCCATTGATTCAAAGCCATTCGGTGCTTTTAGTGTGGTAAAACGCTTTTTTTTCCAAGTTCTTGGTGCTTTTTGAAAATTAAAAGTTGGCAACACTGCAAATCAATCATTTTTAAAATTTGTGTCTGTCTGTCTGTCTGTCTGTCCGTCTGTATGTTTGCACGCGCATCACTCGAAAACGAATGTATGGATTTTAATGCAGTTTTTCCCATGGGTTGCTAGAGGTCTAACTTAAATATAGAAAGAAAAAAATTAGAGAGTTGCCCCCGTTTGAAAATTGCAGTGTAAGAAACTTATAAGAAAAGGCAAATATTGCAATATGGGCGTCAAAAGAAAGAGGCGTAAGAAGGCTTACAGCCAAAAATATTATTTTAGAGTTGCCACCTGTTATTAAATTTTAATTCAAATTATAAGATAAATTGAATATTGCAATATGTGTATCAAGCTGAAGAGGTTTAGGAAATTTTACTGCCGAAAATATTTTTAGGGAGGGTTGCCACTTGTTTGAAAATTTGTATTGTATTAAATTGATAAAATAAATGATCTATACCCTTTAATAAAATTGAAGGGTTTAGAATCATAAGGGTCTAAGTGAATTTTTTTAAATTTAAGTTATACCCATATTTGTATAGTTAAATATAGTGTTTATGTGGTGACAAAGAGTAAAATTCATTTAAATCATTCATTCATTTAAATTAGTTAATTAACCTGCATTCATTTAGGCAAGAATCATTTCAAATGCATTTACTCAGAATTTACAATAAGTAATCAACTTTAACCTAAATTATCTCAAAAAAAATTCAGAACTACTTAGATCTTTTTGATTCTAACTACTTCAATTGTAACAGGACGATGTCTGTACCTTACAGATATTAAAGAAAAATTAATATGGTGGGTTTTTATTAGAGCTACAGAAGCCAAATAAACAATTTTAAGAATTTTTGAATCCCTGTCTGTCTGTATATTTGTACGCGCATCACTCGAAAATATGAAATTGAATGCAGTTTTCACCGATGTATCGCTAGAGATCTAGCTTTTAATAAAGAAGAAAAAAAATAGAGAGTTGCCACCTGTGTTAAACATTTCAGTTTAGGTCAATTGATACGTAAAGTAAATACTGCAATATGGCTGTCAAAAGAAAGAGGTTTATAAAGGCTTACAGCTGAAAATATTTTTGTGGAAGGTTGTCACCTATTTGAAACCTTTAATTTAATTGATAGCGAAATATTGCAATATTGGCATTAGGGTTCGAAATTTCAGACTTTGGTATCGATACTGAGTGCTCATTCTGGCATCGAGCTCATGGTATCGATACTCTAAAAGTATCAGGCAAAAAGTATCGATACAACTCAGTATCGGACTCATTAAAATACGTGTTTTGGGATACTAAAATTTTTTATTCTTCAATCGTACATCTAGTTATTTCCTGAAATTAAAACAATCGAAATTTAAAATATTTGATTTCTATTTCATTGCAGAACTTACTTTCACGTTAGAAGTAATTTTAACGTTAAATGTACATACATACATCCGTACATATATGTATATATATACTTTCACGAATTTCAAATTTTAATAAGAATTTTTGTAAACTTTTTGGGTATGAATTTGTGTAGCCTATTCAAGCACTTTTCTTGTTCATCGCACTTTTTTGGAACTTCTGTGTGGAAGGTTTTTCGCTAAAAACTCAAAATTTTTTGTTGTTGCTGCCAAAAAAATTAAGAAATCGGAGACGTCACGCTTTACCATTTCATGCAGTTCTCTGTACAAATTATTTCGCTAATCTACTAAACACCGGCTGCACCGATTTGGTTCATATTTGGACCATATAAATTGCACCTGGAAAATAAATATTCCGACCAAAAAAATACTCGGGATATTCCTAAAATTCTTATAAAGACTAAAACGTAAAAACCCAATATATCTCTAACACCAATTACATTGCAAATGCATTGGAAAAGGGGGCTTATCTCTGGAACCGTTTACGCTACCCTGCAGGAAATGTATCTAACTATAAGCTAAACTTAAGTTGCTTAGGAAGGAGCTATAATTCACTTATTATCTGTATACATATTTTCTTTGACGAAAGCTAATTATATTGCGCTATGGCGATGGCCGCGAAATAGTCAAGGGTGGTTACCTCTGCAATAGATGTAGTCAAGGGTGGTTACCTCTGCATTTGATGTAACTAACTTGTAACTAACTACTTTTGGGCATTAAATATCAATAGGAAAAACAAAATATTTTTATTTATTTTTTTATTGTTTTTTTTTTTATTTACTTTATTTATTTTATTTTATTACATTTCATATTTGTTTACATACTCTGCTGTAGGTGGTCCCATATTCGAACTCCGTCAGACATAACTTCAAAATGATAATATGAAATTTCGATCTTCCTTTTATTTGTCCTCAATTCGAAAAAGTATTTGCGAAGTGCAGGATGTTTAAATAGAAACGCGTTTAAAGAAAACAATCTCGAGTTTTACTTCTGCACTACTTGTCCACATGTTTCAAGTTAGCTTTTTGTAGCTAACCACAAGCTATATATTTTATAGAAATCCCGCAAAAAAGCTAACTACAAGTAGGTTATTTTTTATCAATTGATAATTTTTTTCTGCAGGGTAACATCCTGAAATTCGACACAGCTACATACATATGTTATCAATACCGTACTTATGGCGAAAAGTGGTAATTATTAGAAAGGCTGCATCGATATACATTTACGTAAACGCGCAAGTATCATTCGATTGGGAATCATTTTCTCCTAGATTTCTAAATCCCATTGAAATATTGTAACTTTGTTTTTAAATTTTTGTAAAATGTAAAATTTATGTGAAAATTTTGAAGAAGTTTTTAAAATTTTGCACAAAGAATGGATCTTTGATTTTTAGAGTTTCGTTATAGAGTGTCCTATCTCCATACCTATTTGCAAAAAAATGATAGCCGTTTTCGTTGTTCGGACTAAACTAAAAAACCAATTAATAGAATTCCGTCAGATTGTCGGAGGTTATCTTACAAACATATATGGTCCTATTACAAGCTAGTAGAAAACTCGCTAGGTGGTGCTGGAGTAGAGCTATTTATAAAAATCGTATTTATTAACCGATTTCGTTCAAATTTTAAATGTGAGCTATGTACCTGTATGATGGAAAATTCTTTTGATAAAAATTTACCCGATGAGTGCCGCGGGAGTCGAGGTTGAAATTCATAACACGTATTCATTTAATGGTAAGCAATGGTTTTGCAGAAAATGGACCCAATGGATGGTGCGGCAGTCGAAATGGGACTAAGTTTCGGATGGGGTTAAGTTTGTCTGACGCCCTCAATCACGATCATGCGATCTTGCTTCTACCTAGAACTCAGTTCATAAATATTACCACGAATTGTAAAA